TGTTAAAGTCACATCACTGATTTCTATAATTACTTTTTTTAAATATTTTTTTTGCTGCTATTTTGCAAGGTTCTTATGAGTTGTTTTCATGTTCAATTAACTGTTTTTTTGTTATGATTTTTGGCTAGTTATTTTAAAGTTAGTGATTCGTGAAATGATTAGTGTTATATAGCAGGGGTTTTCAATAGAAAAAAAAAATTCTCACGGAATTTGTTTAGCGGTTTTTTGTGTTTTTCGCAGTTATTTTTTTAATTTTTTGTTTTCTATTTCAAGCTTATAACGTGCTGTTTAGTGTGAGTGTAGCCTTTTTTTTCACAGGATTATTTTAATTCTTTTGAGTTTTGTTCTATTTTTTTGTATTCTTACAACTTTGTTCTACTGATTTATGTTTCATTTTATGATTTATGAATTTCTGTTAAAATTATATTTTTTTTTTTGTTTTTTTAGTTGTTTTAGTAATTATTAAGAATTTTACAATTATTTTTTTTTTTTTGTCTTTCTAAGAATGATTTTGAGTAACAGCAGTTCATATTAAGTATTTAGTTCTGAAAAAAAATTTTGGATAATTATTTGTGCAGTTTTGTTAGAGCAAAGAATTGAAATCTAGAATAAGAACACATTCCTCTTATTGTCGGAATTCTCAAACTTATGGAGCTCATTCTAGCTCATTTTACCACAGCTTTTATTGAGTCTATATGTAGCATTTTATTGATGCAAGAAATTTGATTAATTTTAAATGTGATTCCACAATAAAATTTTATATCAAGCAAATTCAGAAATAAAACCTTTTATTCTTAGCTGAATTTCTGCTGGTATGTAGAAGAAACTGGAATTTATTTAAGCCGAAATCAATGAAAGTACATATTTATGTTATGCGTATTCTGTATTCTTACTGTTATGAAAGTGTTAATAGGTCAATCATTTGTGTTATTAGTTCACACTAATTTGCAAATTCGGCACATTGGGTAAATTTTAAATTGTGCGAAAAATTAATTACAAAATTAATGGGAAAAAATTTTTGAGTGAAAATATTTTTTTTTTGCAATTTTACTTGCTTCAAATTCAATGTTATTCACTCTTCTGTAGGACAGTCAAACATATCGTTAATAACTTTTAAATAACTTAATCCTAACATTAATTTTTTTACTACTATTCTTCTCTTTCTTCCTACAATCACAACAGAATTATGAAACTTGTGCTATTGCACAAGTTTCAGAGAATGTCAGACTTATCGAACACAAAAAAAAGAAGAGAGCAAAATTTCCTTTTTCGTATTTTATTTTAAATTCAAACTAGTGTTGTGTTGTGTGTGGTTTGCAACAAAAAAAAAACTAGAATTTTTCCTGATACAACATTGTTGCAAAATTTTTAAAAGAGTTTAAAAGGTAATTAATCTTTTCATTCAATTGCATTTTCTTACAATAATAATAATTGTGTATAAAGTGAAAAAAAAAATATCAATTGGAATATGTTAAGAGCCTCAATGGTAATAAATTATAAATTTTAATTTTAAAAATAATTTTTTGTATTAAATCAAATAAAAAAATGAAAAGCAAAATACTACAAACATGACATTTCTGTTTCTTTTTCCAATTTGTAATAATTGTTTAATAGATTTTTAACACCAGATAAATAGAATATTTTATAGCTTTAGGCTAGGTCGATTATAATCTTTTCAATTCTATCTCATATATAAATATAAAAGTTACAAGATTTAAGTATATTTGTACATATTTGGATTTTATATTTTGTTGTATCTTAATTAACTTTTATAATTTTAATAAGAATGAAAGAGAAAGAGAAAAATTGTTTTTAGAAATTTTGATATTTGAATTTTGTTTTTCTAACATTGCTATTTTACTTATACAAGTACATGTGGGAAAATCAAGGATTTGCAGCATTAATGGCAGCTATTATTACTCTTGGGTAATAAGGAAAAGCGATTTGAGTAAAAGTTGATAGAGTTTCGAGTAAATCAAGTTAGACAATTTACAGTTAGTTTTGAAAGCAATGGACAATTCCGTGGCGGAAGGGGTTTTTGTTCCTATCAGCACAGTGAAAACGAATGCATGATAGGCACAATAGGCAAGAATGATGTGACCAAAATACGATCTCGTGAGGACGGATTGACTCCTAACTATTTCTCGTAGGGAAATTGCCTATTTGAGGGCAGTCTACACGAAATAGATCCGTTAGAGGATTATGCGGCTAGAATAGAATTGCCCTTCAACATAATGTGCGGTACCTGCCGGAATATAAATTTGAGGGTGAATAATTTGAATGTCACTTGTAATACGTCAACTTATACTGTTTTTCTTTATTGCCACCGAAAGTATATTAGAATTTTTATTGATTTTAAAATTTACTCAAATTTGCACTCATTAAAACAAAAAAAAAAATATCCTACTGTGAGAGACACAATTTTTTGTTGTTGTTACTGTCGTGTTATTGTTGTTATTGTTTTAGTGTTATGACAATAAATTAAAATTTGTTTTTGTTTTTTTTTTATTCTTTTAAGCGAAATTATTTTAATTTTTACAATTTAAAATGCATAAATCAATTTCAATTAAATTCTAAACAATTAAAATATTTTATTAAAATAAAAAAAATGTTTGCGCTGATTTTGAATTCATTAAAAAAAAAATTTATTTAAATTTTTTTTTTTGCACAATTATTAGAATTTATTAGAATTGATATTGATAAAGAAATAGAAATTGCAGGGGAATTTCGAGTAAATAAAAGTTGTCAACTTAAAATCCATTTTTTGTTATAAAAAGGGGTGAAGTTGTAAAATTCTAACAATAAAATTAATAGAATTATTTTTCATTTCCCATGAATTTAAGTGAGACAGGAATCCAATAAGTGTAATAAATGAAGAATTTCGGATCAAATTAGCATATCGCGAAAAAAACTGCTGACAAAACCAAAAGTTTTAAATTCAAATAGCATCAAACTGCACAAAACTCCAAAATTCCACTCATTTTCTTCAGTAAATTAATAACAAACGGCCTATTTCACAGTTATTTTGTAGATCAGATCTTACTTTTGTAGCTTACAGCCCTGATACTATAACATTTGTAACAATTCCTATAATATAACAGATTCCCATATAATATCTAATAATTTGCTATATTGTTTTTTGATATTAATTTTTTTTTCGAATCAAATGAAATGTTATTTATTAACAATGCGTATAGGACGTAACAGTTGTGTATTGTATGAATCAATTCTAATTTAATACAGTAACAATTTGACCTAAACTTTCAATAAAATTGCTTCTGTTCTTCTATTAAATTCATATAGTCAACATAATATGTATGCATACATACTGTGTGCATATTATGTATGAATAATGCTTATACATAGGATATGTATGAACATGTATGTAACCATATTTTTCGCAATTATATTACGAAAAATCAGTGAATAAATAAATCATATTTAAATTGTATACGTATAAATTGTACTGAAAATAATATTGATATTATTATTATTTTGATTTGAAGTGATTGTGAATCACCGCAACACAACATAATGGGAACATATTCATGCAAAAAGTATGCATGTGTATAAACAGAAGTATGAGCAACATAATCAAACTCAAAAATTATTACTTATTATGTAAATTTTACTATTATTCTAAAAAACCTGTACGGAGTACAATATTGAATAATACATTCATATTTATGTACTTTGATTTGAAGTTGGGAATTTTCATGTTTATTTAAATTTGTCTTGGTTTTTTTTTTCAATTTTCAATTAATATTAATTATTAATTCACCTGTATTTGCATATATGGTCAATATGAATGACACCATATGTATGAAAACCAAATTTACATAGATTTGTTTCAGTCTCTGATATAAAAAACTGCATAAATGTTGAAGAAAACAAAATGTTGCAGAGTAATTAATAAAAACGACAAAATGTTTATTAGCGACAATATCGAACATTATCATTAGTATTTATTTACGTTTTATAAAATAATATAACAGATTGATATTGTTATGGCATAACAGTAATCATAATGGCAGTATATTTTCAAAAATAAATAGAGTTTTAGTTACTGTTGTAACAAAACTGTCATGATTTGTATGAAACAAATAAAATTTTATAATCAGTAGAAAAGAAAGTGTTCTCTCGTTTAAGAAATGTTATGTATAGAGAGTAGATTGCTGGCGTAGAGATTTTTCTCTTGCTTATACTTATGACTAATAAAAATTAATAATTCAAGTCGTCATTCGTTTATCACTCGTCAGTCGTCATACAAAACCGTTTGTGTGTTTTGACAAAATTAAAAGAAAATTGGCACTAGTCACATTACACACATACTATGATTATAAGTTAATAACATTATAAAGAGTTTATTAAGAATTTTCAAAAAACAAAAAATTTAAATTAGAAATATTAAAAAAATTAAAAAATTAAAATATGTTTTTAAATGTCATAAGGAACACTTTTAATCTCAACTAAATGAGTTCTTAAAAGACAGTCAGTTGTAAGTGTTGCAAGACGACAAGTTGTAAGTACTGGTTCTAGGTTTTAAATGTAGATACCTAGAATTTGTTTGCATTTATTTTCTTACAAATACAGTTAATTTTTCTCTGATCTCTCTAATAACAAAACTCTAATCTCTCCTTGTATTGAACGACAAAAGATTTAGTGTTTCATTCATCATACAAAAATATTCAGTGCACAAACATCTGCCTTTTTTAATATTTTAATAAAAATTCTTGCAATTTCCATATTACATATAAACATACAATAGTAAATAAAATGTAAAATAATTATTATTAAAGAATTTGTCATAAAAAATAATTGACATGATTTTAAAATGGTTGATTTATTCAATTTTTGTTTTTTAATAAAATCGAATAAATAAATATTGATTTTATTTACACATGTATATATATACATATCTATAAATATAATTTGCCTACTTACATACATAAACATAAATTTTTTAATATATTTAGTTTTTTTTATATGAATTCATTTACCTTGGTTCTATACAGTGGGTTGTTAAAATCCCAATCAGGTGCCACAAATAGGTAACCACATTTTGATATTTTACGTGTTGCCTGAAATAAAATAAAAGTATAATAAATTTATTAAAGAAATTAATTAAAAACAAAAAAAATTAATTAAATTTCAAAATGATTGTAAAAAAAAATGTATGTATGTAATGTGATTTAATTTTAAAAATTTTACAATTGAATATTAAACGGTTTGAATAAGAATGCCTCATATTTAAACAATATGGGTTTATTCTACGCATATACAAACCTCAATTTTAAAAAACACATTCTCCAAATATTTATGTACATATTTATTTATTCTACTGCATTCTATTATAAAAATTGTTTAGTCATACGAGTATACACAAGGCCGCCAATAACCAAATACCGCAAGAATATAGATTTAGGTTTGGTATTACAATTCTTAAGATTTTATTAAAAGAATGTTTAAATGAAATTTGGTTTTCCTAGTTATTGTATAATCCAGTCCAGAGCTCTGGTATTTTATCCCACCTTAATTACATTTTTTATTTAAAAAAATATTCATTTCAAAAACAATTTTTGTCATTTAATTTTTTTACTTTCTGTCATAAATTATAATTTATTTAATTTTGAATTTAATTGAAATTTCATTCAAAGTTTATTATGATTTTGAACCTAAATTTCAATTAATTTCTGTAATATTACAAAAATTCTAATATAGATTTTTTTTTGATTTATTTATTCACAATATAGAATAGAATTATTTAAAGGTCATTTTACAATTGCATTTCAATTGCATTTTACGGAGGAGAGCAAAAAAAAAAAAAACGTAAAAATATTCTATGATATTCAGTCATAAATTAAAAGTTTACAAAATATAGAACAAAAATATTAATGAGAAATTTTTAATAACAAGTCAACACCTTTTCATAATAAATTTCAAAATTTATTTTAAATGAACATGGTAAGTCTATTTTAATATTTATTTAATTTGACAGAAGGTAGTCAATAAATTGTTCTCTCTAAATATTTTTTCTTTTTTTTTATCTTCTTATTTAAATCTACAATCTATCCCTACGAAAGCAAGATTCGGACATTTAGTAGATGTTCTGACATATTTTCTTTAAGTGATTTGTAAAGGGCTTTCCCAGTGGAATAGTCCCTTCCCATTCTTCATATTATGTTGTGTTTGAGCTCCAGCTACTGATATATATATATATATATATGTCGCTATTGTTGAAGTAGATATCTATTTTGCAAATCAAGAGGATGTTATCGCTTGAGTCTGCTTATATAGTTCAATTGAAGTACGTTCCTTGCCAGTTGATTTGAGTGTTTGCTTATTCTTTCTAGATATTTTTTACTTGCCATTGATGCCGTTTCATTTGCAGAGTGGATATTTGTATCATTCCTGATGGTAGAATTTCTAATATATCACGGAGCCTTTACTATGGGTTGTGTTGCTGACTTCTTGTATTGTATTGAGTTTTATTCTCTCGGTTGTATTAAAAATTATGCTCTCTTTGCTTTGTAAATAATCCAAAAATATGTTTAACAAATTGTTGAAACACTGCCCTACAGCCTAATGACATAAAAACAAAATGAGAGTTGCTTTCTCTATATACGTGGAAGTCTTATACTATCCAGTGTCGTGGTTCAAATTTTAATTCAAAATAAATTTCATAAATTCTTGCAAATATTCATTGCACTAAAAAGAGCATTTAATTTAAAAAAACTATTCCAATTTATTTAAATAATTAAAATTATTAACATAAAATGCACTTCATTTAAGTGGTCAGGGTAGGATACAAATAGATGGAATGAAATATTAATTAACTAATTGAGTGTTATAATCAAACACATAATATATAAACAGTTGGATTATAAAATATGCAATTGTGTCAATATATAAGGCTTAAAGTCGAAATTTGTATTATGCAACAGCAAATTCATAATACAAAGTGAATTGATGAAATTGATAATGAACATTCAAAAGCTCATCGAGGCAATACCACCTAAGTAACTCATACAATACAGAATGTATGACACTTATGTTTGATTGGGTGGGTATTATAGAAAAATTTTCAATAATTTGTAAGTATTTAATGCCATTATTGTTTGTTAAACAATCAACATAATTACTTACTCATAAATAAATAATAAACATAAATACAATAACATCATTACAAATTAACTTGTTAAATAAATATGGCAACAAACAAATTAAATAATCATATTATTTTTATGCTCTTTTAAATATCACTCTTGTATGACCTTTAAAATTATAACAATATTTTATTTACAATTATACAGAGTGAGCGCATTCATTCAATATTTCTAATAAAAATTTATTTTAAAATTACATACACGTTTTCTTGTAATACATATTTTTGTATAACAGTTCTGTGTTACGCATGAAAAATATTAAAAGTATTATACACAATATAATTTTATTATTAATGACCTTAAAATTTTTCATTGTTAATAATATTTTTGTAATTTGTTTTTATTTTTTTTTAACAAACCAAAAATATAACATGAAAATATTTATGAAAATATCAATCAAAACTAACAAATTAATATAACAAAGTGGAACTAATCAACAAAATTATTTTTTACATAAAATTTATTTATTATACGTTTTTAAATATTATGGTATATAATAGTATAACATAAATTTCTTAACTAATAATGCATTACTAAAGTCTAAATTGAATTTGAAATTATTCTAACCATAGGAACAAAATAAAATTTTTTATTCAAGATCATCTTGTATTACCCACCAGCCCACAATTTTTTTTTTTATATTTTATTTTATGCATAAAATATTAATTATAAAATATGAATATTTAAAATTATTGCACCCGAAGAAATAGCTTCAGAGATTGTGGTAGGTACTATCTGGTGACTTAGTGGGAAATATCATAACACTCATAATAGAGCAGCCTAAACATAAGAACACATTCAGATTAGTCTAGCTATTTATACTGTTCAACGTGTTGAAAAGTTTTCTACTTATTTAATACACCTTCTTTTCCATAAATTCTCTCTCTGAGACTCTATCTCCTTCTCTTCGAGAAAAATTTCCTTAATTGAGAAAGTTTACTTTGAAAAAGTATGAAGTTCAGTCTCAAGAACTTTTAATACTTCGAAAAACGACATATATGAGAATAATATAGAAAATAAAAATTGTTATTTTCGTGTAAATAATTTCCTTTTCAAATGACATTTTCAATTACAGCAGACAAACCCCTGTCTTTCCACTTTGTGCAGTAAAAGTTTAGGTTTGATATCAAATAATATAAATTTACGGTTATTAAAATTACCAAGTATTTCATAGTGATTTTCAATTAAAATTTTACCATAATAAAATAAATTAATCAATAATAAGGTTTGAAGGAATAATAAGGGTATAAACAATAATATCAAACTTAAATGTAATCAAACAAGTATGATATTCATATTAAATATAATCAAACAAGTATAATAGCCATATCAAACCAAATCAAACATAATTTAAAGAACAAAATATTGAAGACGTCATAAAAAATCATTTTATTTCTCAAATATTCATGTTTGGGTACAATAAATTTTTTCAAATGTATACATAAGCTATATTATGCGCATGCAAAGAACAAATTTGATTATAAAAATGACTATTAACAAAATATCAAATTTAAACACTGAATAATTTATTATTAACTATTCAGCAGTTTAACAACAACGGAAGTCAATTAATTTACAAAGAGAAAAAAAAAATAATGTACAACATAAAAAAAGAAAATGGAAAAGTTAAAATTTCGAGAATTAAATCAACAATACAAAAACAAAATAACACAACAGTAACACAACAAACACAACAGTAACATAATAATAACAATAATAATAAATATCTAACTAATTTAACTGGGTACCCGTTATAAGACAGTTTAATATTTCTATTTTAACTCTTTGCCTATTGGTCTACGACTATGTTAAGTTACCTAAGTTAAATAAATTTCTAGAATTTCCGCCTTTAAGTATGATATCGTGTGTACATACGTATAATATCGTGTATGATTCGTAAGTATGTGCTTGTCTTTGCTTATTCACAATATCAAATGAGTTTAAGTTTTTTTTTATTGTATTTTCTCTAAATGCTTTATTATTAATAGGAAATAAAATAGCATAAAATTGCGAATTTTAAAACTATACTATTTGTAAAAAATTTTATTTTAATTGAGACCCACGAAATTTTAACGAAAAAAAAACAATGAGAGAAAAAATTTAAAATATATGAGTACAATATTCACAAATACACGGTGAGCGCTGAGCGGAGAGGAAATTGTATATACAGTGAAAAATTTGATCACGAAATTTTAATTAAAAATTTTATTCGATTTTTATAAAATAATATTTCATTATTTTTATTTTTATTCTTTTTATTGGATATATAGACACACAATAGTTGAAATGTTGAAATAAATATTGTAGAAAATGTTCCTATATGTAATGTTAAAGTGAATTGATTGCACACGTGTTTTAAGTTTTTGGTGAAACACAAATTGTGAATATTTTGCTTAAAGGAGTGCTATATAACGAGATGATGGTGAATTTTATTTGAGTTTGAGAAAAAATTATTTATTTAAATTATAAAGAACAAGCAAAATTTTTATGTAAAATAATAAATAACATTTGAATTACTAAATGTGATGTTTTAAATATGAAGTCACGAGTATTTGTTGCAATTTAAATTACTGCAATTTATTTTATCGTAAAATTGAACAAATATTCTATGGAATTGATGATGTTCTTATTATTTCAAATATTTAGAAATTTTTTTTTATAATCAAGAAGATTTGTAGGATTCAAACTGATTGTATTCATGAATTCCAATACAATTAACTCAATTTGGTAAATCCCAATATCGTGAAAATTTTTTATTCTTATATTTCCGAACATGAATATATTGAACAGTAACACACAAAATATTTTCTCTTCATAAGAAACGGGAGAAAGAGAGAATATTTTATGATATGACATTTGCATGATTATTTAATTAGTAAAAGATGGCGCTAGTAATTCAGTTGAC